ATGTTTTAGCACTACTTGAGTCAAAGATTGAACTCACAACTGCCAAGTTATCATGATATGTCTTAACCAACACTAGGTCATGTGGATTCCAAGAATATTACCAGATACAAAGACATTCACTTGATGATAGCCAGAAAATACAACAGCTGTTATTATAACAACCAAGATAATCATGCTGGTCAAAATTCTTATTCATTTATGTGCTGTGTTCCATCAGTATGTGGGTGATCATGACTCTCCACAACTTCCTATACTGTAGCTCTTAGTAAAGTTTGTCTTTTTGTTATCTCTACCAATCCCTATTCTACAGTCCATTTACACAAACTTGCTAGGTAGGTTATGCACTGCATTCCTCTATTCCTTCCTGCTTTCAATATGTCCTGCATATGTGAGATTCTTTATGCCTTCTTTCCTCATTATTTGTCCTGGAAATTCTAAGAATAAGCATCCTTTTTTGTTTCCATTTTTATTAAAACTTACATAGAAAGGCCATAGGATTAAATATCAAAACATATAATAATTTCTCATTTAAAATATTCTGACAAAAAATTATAGAAATAAAAATGTAAATTTAAAACTTAATTATTTAATAATAAATAAAATAATAATAATAAAAATAACAAATAATAATAATAGAATAATAATAAAAATCTGTGGTCCATATAACATCAGCACAATCTTCTAAAGTGGTTCAACACTTTGTACACACCTCTTCTGAGTAAGAGACCCCCCCACCCATAGAGGAGAACATGACTAAGGACTGTGTGTATGCCATCCCATGCAGTTATGGTAAGAAATACAAAGGAGAGACAGGCCACCCACTTAAGGTAAGACTACAAGAACATCATAAAGTGGTAACATGAGGGAAAATAGAAAAATCAGGCATAGCTGAGCACACATGAATGGAAAAGGGAGTTCCCCCCACCCCCGGATTAGGTTGGAATAATAGACAGAGAGCATCACTGGAAAATGGGAAAACTTAATGAATCAGCACATATGCTAGGCCACAAAAATCTCCTGAGCCAACCAAGCATAGAAATGAATACAATATAGAAACTGATAATAAGGAGTGCTAGCGAAAAACAAAGAATAACAACAAAAATTGCAATGTAAGCTCTGGTAAAAAAATAAAATAATAATAACAGAAAAAATTGCAACATGAGCACTGGTAAAAGTGGTTGCTGAGACATTAGGTCTATAAGTCCCAAAAATTCATGCACAAGGACACATGGCCCAGAGGATAAAGACATTGGTTAGATCCAGTTACTAGACCCAAAGTTCAATTCCAGGCCACAGCAGTGGTGAACCAAAAACTTGGAGAGTTGAGTTAAAAGACATCTGGAAAAGGCACGTGGAACTAGAAATCTACCTCATTGGACAAAATAAAGGGTTCGGTTCAAAATTCCAATCACCTGATCATTATCATTGCTAATTGTGAATATGGCAATGAAGATGAGAATAACAGTCCGAGTAATGTAAATAATGTAAGAGATATAGACAGATAATAATAAAAAATAATAATGATGAAAGCACTATAATGGCTGTCAGTACAAATAATCTCAGGAAGTATGTCCACAAAGAAGAAATATAACCATTTGCAGAATGTGTGTGAAATATGTTGTTAATATACCCAGGTTTATACTCAAAATGATTATAAAAAAGTGTCGACATGATCAAGTAACCAACATTGTTGTGTGAGGAAGTTTCTTGAGGAAAGAAATGTACATCCATAAATCTTGAGTCAAAAACATGCAAGGATTTGTGGGTTCTTTCAATACAAACAAATAACAAACTGGAACACAACAAAATGGACATATTGGTGGAAGGTAAAATAGGAAAAGAAAGATTAATTATTTCTTAATGATTTCTCATTGATTATGAAATATTTTAAGTGCCGAACTTAATCATCACTCATAATATGGACCTTATGAAAAATAATGTTGCTTATGAATTCTCATATCTTTTGTAAAATTGCATCTTCAATACTAATAAAAAATTGTTCTTATATTGATCACACAACCAACCACACTTTCTTCTTGTTAATTTGACACAAGGGGTTACTGAATGTGAAAGAATCTGAGAAAAACTATTATTAAGGAGAGAAACCAATAAAAGAACAGGAATTAAGGAAATAGAAGATGAGGATTAAAATTGCACAGACAATCAAATTTGATTGGAAAGCAAGAAATAGGAAGAGAGTTCCACAAGTGAGATGTGTCAGAGAAGAAATTCATGGTTACATTTAGCAGTTTCAACTGAAAAATGAGATCTATCTGTTAACCTAGCTTAAATTCATAAAAGCAAGACACCAAAGAGAAAAACTTATCAGAACAATGACCATAAAAATATTGATGGAAAAAGACATAGGGAAGCTACTTTATGGCAGTAGGAAAATGAATGAAGTCAAGATGTCAGGACCAGTAACAATTTTTGCAATCAGCTGCCAGTTTGACCTTATTGAACTTATCAGACTTACCATTAAGACAGGAATAAATAGAAGAGGAAGTCTCTAGTGATGTGGTCATATGATGCTCTGAGGTCAATATAGAAGGTATGCAATTTCAATGAGATAATAATGAATCAAATTGAGATATTTTTGTATGTGTGTGTGTGTCTTAAGAATTGCCTTTTTGTTTGCATAGTGCATTAATGCATGATAAACCCCAATTTTGCAGTGATGTATTTCTGATTCCAAAAATTGAACAGAGAACTTCCCTACTCTTTAACTTTTATATCTTCTTCTATGTGCTGTGTCCCTTCAGGACATAGATAATCATAGCTCTTCACAACTTCCTATCCTTCATGGCTATTAGCAGCATTTCTCTCTTTGCTAAGCTACCCATCCCCTGTTCAGCTATCTGTTCACACAAGCTTGTCAAGTAGATAGTCTGCTGCCATTTATATGCCCTGTGAGAGTTCAGATTTTTAAGCTCTCCTTCCACATTATGTCCAAGAAATTTCTGCTGTTTTTTCCAATTCTAAGTATGTTCTTTTTGTTACCATTTTCTTTAAGGATCTCTATGTTGATTACTCACTCCATCCAATGGAATTCTCAGTATCCTACTGTAGAATCACATTTTCATGGCCTCCAATTTTCCTCTTTATGTGTGGTCAGATTGTCCAGCATTCACTGCCATACAAAAAAATTGATATAACATAACAATTCAGCACTCTTTTCTTTGTTTCTCATCAAATTTTCTTGTTTCTTATTATTTTGTTTAGCTTTTGAAATGCATTTTTTACTAATCTGATGTACATTCAGATTTCAGTGTTGTATTTTCCATCCTCTGTTAAAACACTTATGTAAAATATTGAATAAACATCAATTATTAAGTTAAATCTTTTTTTATATTGCTTCCTTGTTATGTTCTCTCTCAAATACATTGTGAATCTTGAGGACATTATTAAGCTACTGATTTCTGTTTTCCAATATCACCATTCTAATCTTTATTAAAGATGTTAAGAGTAAAATAAACAGCTCAAAATATAAAATCCTGCACTGGTTATGGAATTACTACTAGTGAAAAATAACAAATACTTGTAGATATATTACAAGATGATATTCAATTCAAACCCAACCAAAATATTAAGGTATTAATTAGCAAAGTCTATATTACTGAAGATCTTATAAAAAACTGAGCTATAAATACCTTGTGTGATTCAAGACTGCAGTGCAAATAGGTTCTTGTTGATGTGTTTTAACTTATTAATATGAAGTTATATTTAACATCAGGTTATAAAAATGGAGTAATATATGAGCATATTAATTAATCAACATACTTTCTAATACAGTACAATATGCATTTATCTATTTTTCAATTATGATCTGTGAAAGTATCCATCAGGCACAGTTTACAAATTACACCAAAAAATGTATTACATTTAATTCAAGTGTTAGTTTATAAAATTCTCAGTTACCATGCTCAGCAGTTACTTAGCAAAAGTAAACAAATATCAAGGAATTTTATGTCACTGAACCATAAAGAGTTACAATTAATGCCTGCATTAATAGTAATACTAAAAGATTTAAATACCTCATTAATACTTGTTATACCCAATGCCTAAAAGGCATTTTATGCTCATTCAAATTATCCAACAACAAATAAAGCCTAAAGCTGAGCATTTGCAAATTTGATAGCTAACAGAAAATATTACTGCATTATATATTAATTGTATGAAATGTCCTCTGTTTTTGCCAGTTCTAAATATGCATTTATCTTTTCATAAAATACATTGGCTCTTGATTAACTTAGAAGCTGTAGTATGTTTAATTTTAGAAAAGTCCAAATACTAAAATTGGGCTCTTCTACCATGCAGAAATTATATCTATAGTTACTGCCTTTCTTATGTGAAATTTGATTCTTTTTCTCTACAGTTATCACCCTGATGCCTTGTTTTAGACTATAAGAAAAATGTGGAATTAAGCCCTTGATTCAATTGCTTAAGTGATTTATGCCCAATAAGTCCATAAGTTTCTCTTAACTGACCTACATTTTTTTTTTGATTTACTAGTCCAGATATGACATCAAAATATCGCTCTTAATAAAATAATATAAACAAATATTTTTATACCTCTCATGCAAATTACATTACTACATATAAATGCAAACAGTTTCTTAGGTAATGGATGTTTAAGTTTCTGTGGAGTGACAAGCTTGCTTGCAAAAATGTAATCCACAGGTGTTGAGTCATAACAGGTTGTGTCATATTGGACAGTTGGTGGTTCAAATTATGAAGAGCAAAGCTTGCATTAGCAGGTCACTTTGACCCAGTTTTACAGTTATGATTTACAAATGCATAATTCTAAATGGATATGTTTGAAGAGTTTATAAGGAAAGTTAAATATTCATGATAAAAGAAAGTAAGAATTATAAACATTTTATGACTAAATGCTGTTTGGTAAACATCAGAAATTGATGAATTGACATATCTGAGAATAAAATCAGATGTTAAAAATATTACTTCTGTTTTGATTATAAAAAAGAAAAAAGGTAGCTTACCTTGAATAAAGAACAGGCTAGATGAATATTTTCAGCATCATGAAGATGAATGTGTGAAGTGACAATAACGCCTGTCTTGCTATATCTTAACATTTCATCTTTGGAGAGCAGATCCTGCAAAGTAAAATAAAATGAAAATTTATGTAGATAGATACACACACACACATGTCAGATTTTATTATAGAAGTCAAAGATTTCACAATAAACAATTTTGGATATACATATATAATAATTTATATATTCTTGTCAGAAATATTTGCAATAATTTATTTGGTGGTGTGAGAATTTATTATGAAATTCGAGGGTTGTTAATTATATTCTAGATAATTATATATAGTGGTATAGTTATTGCAGTTCCTGTTTGAATTTCAGCTATGTAAATATTATTGTGGGTATTGTCATCAGTGTAGAAATTAATATTTTGTTTTTTTTCTGCTTTTCTTCAGACTGATTAGCATAAAAGTTCACCAAGTAGAATACAACTCTTTATTCTAATAACAAACATAATATACATTAATACAATACTATACTTTCAACATTATTTGAAGTTATTACCATATGAAATATCTTTGCTTTCAAATATAATAAATAATTACAGAGTTTTACCATAAAGATATTTTTTCAAAGAGACAATATATTGAATATTGCTGCTACATCTGGTCTGGTGCTATATATTTAGAGATTCTTGATAAAATCCAAGCAAGAATCTGCAATGTTAGTGATCCTGATCCCTTATCCCAGTTTCAGTCACTTTCCCATTGCTGTAATGTAGTTCCCTGTGCATTTTCTTTAAATATTTTCATGGTAATTGTTCTGATGAGCTTCCCACTTTGGTGCCTAGACTTTATGAATTTAAGCATAGTACTAGAGTGGCAGCCAGTTGAAATGGTTAAGTTATATGTTAAAAGTGTCTCCCTTGTATTTCTAGCTCATGGAACTCTCTTCTGGCTTCTTGCTTTCCAGTCAACTTTGAACTTTAAAAAATTTAAATGCAGTCTCAATCATTATATTTTGTTTTTTTAATTCCTGTTCTTTTATTGTTCTCTCTCCTAATATATTTTTTTCTTTTCATTATATTCCCTCACATACATTAACCCCTTGTATATTAGTAGCTTTATTGCCTTGCTTGACATTAAATGGTAAAAAAAGATAGCAATGGATTTTTTCTTTCATAATTAATAAAGCCACTGGGACAAGGGGGTTACTGACTGTTAGAGAATATGAGCAAAACTATCATTAAGGAGAGAGAACAACAAAAGCACAAGAATTAAGAAGATAATGATTGATATTACATTTAAATTTTTGAAGATCAAATTTGACTGGGAAGCAAGAAGCCAGAAGAGAATTCCACAAATGAGAAGTGCAATAGAAGAAACTGATGAAACTTATGGTTACATCAAGCCATTTTAACTCTAAAATGATGATATCTTGCTGTCAATCTAGTACTGTGCTTTAAGACATAAAGTCTAGGTACTATTGTGTTTAAAATGAGCCACAAACTCGGAGGAAAATAAATGACGGGTTTATTTACAAAAGGCGGTACCGGAAGTCCCTATAAAGGGACCCCAATCCAGAGAGTTCCTTTTTATATAAGGGCAATAACCCTATTTAAACTGAATAGTAGTTTATTGTTCTTAATGGACACAACAATCCTCCCTTACTTTGGATGAGGACTTCAAGTTAGAGACGTTTGTGGAGCAGAGTCACTGATGGCTTGAATTTTCACCAAGTCTGGAGAAATTCCAGTCTCTCCAAATACATGACCATAGAATCTTAGCTCCTTGACAGAGAAGAGACATTTTTCTTTGTTGAGTTTTGCCCCACTCTCATCGAGTCTCTTTAGGGTACGTTTCAGGTTTCTGTCGTGATCTGTTTGATTTTTTCCATAAACAATGATATCATCTGAGAGATTTTTCACTCCTGAGATGTCCCTCAGAAGTTCTGATATTGTATTCTGGAATATCTCAGCTGCTGCGTTGACTCCGAATAGTAGTCTCTTGTATCTCCTGAGACCTACATGGGTGGTAAATGTCGTGATATATCTGCTTGCCTCATCTAATTCTAGCTGATGGTATGCATTCCTCATGTCCAGCTTGCTGAAAACTGTTGCACCATTTAAATCCGCTATCAGGTCATCAATAGTCGGCATCGGGTGTTTGATTCACTTAATTGCACGATTGGCTTCCCTCATGTCTATGCAAAGACGCACTCCACCTGTTTTGGGAACAGCAACTATGGGGCTGACCCATGGTGTTGGGCCTTCGACCTTTTCGATGATCTCCAGACTCTCTAGTCTTTCTAGCTCATTTTCTACATCTTTGCGGACATGGAAAGGAACACGGCGATGAATTTGAGCAACTGGGGTTACAGATGTGTCAATGTGGAGAGTTACTTTGCCATTCTTGATGCAAACCCATCGCACCATCAAACAAACGAGGGAACTGATCAGATATGCTTTGTCGGGCCTGTCTGTAGAGAAAAATGGATCAGGTTTAGTTGTTGAGCTGTCTTACTGCTCATCAGGTTGGTGCATCCATTTGTGTGTATCGTAAAACATTGCCGTGACTGTTGACGATTTGTAGCTGATGTTTGTTTGGAAGAATCCACGAACAGGAAGGGGAACATTTGAATTGAATGCATAAATTTGGGGTACAGGTTTTTTGGAGTAATGGCGCCATGCGCCAAGTGATTAAACGTCGATTTCCCCAGAATATTTACTGAAGCACCTGTGTCAATTATGAAACTGACTTTTTGTTGTAGATTGATGCTGTAATCCTCGGTAAGGTTATTGATGGGGATGTTGTTGAAAGAACATCAACTGAGAACAGAGATTCATTATCAGATTGGGAGAGGTCAGATGAAGGTGAAAACTGGATCTGTCTTACCTTAGAGCCAGACAAACATGCTTTGAGCGAAGTGTCCAATTTTCCCACACCTATTACATGTTTCTCCACTTGCTGGACAGATTGATCTGGGGTGAGGCTGTGGAGCATTGCAGTAAATGCATCGCCTGTTATTTTTTTTTCGAGCCTGGGGAGGATTTTGTTTTTGGTTTTTGAATGTGAATCCCTCGGGCTGCTATGTTGACATTCGGGCAGTGAGGTCTATGTTGGTTAGTTTCTGAGCTTCCTGACCTGGGCATATTTCGCTTTGAATAGCGTGTGTTTGTTCAGTGCTCGCTTTATTAGTTTTATTTTCTATCGAGGCAGCACGGCTTTTGGAAACTTCAATACCACGAGCATCATCGAGTGGCTGTTGTGAGCGTTAAATTGTCTTTTAGAACTTCCCCCAAAGTCTTTGTGACGTGTATCCTCGGATTATTTGCCCAAAGATTTCATTTTCCATGTTATGAAACCCACAATTTGTCACAGCGTGTAACCGAATGGTATGAATCCATACTTTTTTTTTTCCTTTTGTTTTAGCTGACTTAAAATTGAAAGTTTCATACACAACATTCTGTTTGGGTATGAAATGACTATTAAAAGATTTTTTAATATATCATATTCATTTGGTGTTGGGTTATCACCTTCCGTCATAGAGTTAGTCCCTTTTTGTTCATCCGTCATGGTGTCATATATATCGGTAATGTCATTTCCTCTGTAATGTAAAAGTATTGCCTTTTGCCGTCTGTCGGAGTTGATATCCAGTGCTACAAATAGATTATCCAGCTTGGAAATCCATTTTTTCCATCTTGTCCCAGCTGTATTCTCTTCGCCGTGGACGATAAATCTTTCGAAGTCGGGTAACGACATCGTAGTATTTTTTTCGATGGTGGTGATGTTGTGTGAATCCAAACCTGTTTTATCTAGCTCATAGATAAGGATGGAAACTGGAATTAATTCATCTTTATCATCCTCGTCGCCATTTATTGTGTTTAAAATGAGCCACAAACTCGGAGGAAAATAAATGACAGGTTTATTTACAAAAGGCGGTACCGGAAGTCCCTATAAAGGGACCCCAATCCAGAGAGTTCCTTTTTATATAAGGGCAATAACCCTATTTAAACTGAATAGTAGTTTATTGTTCTTAATGGACACAACAGGTACCATAGAGGAAAGTTTATTGGAACAATTACCAGTGAAGTATTTATAGAAAAGACACAGGGAAATTATGTTATGCCAGTGGTAAAGGGACTAAAGCTGAGATGCTAGGTCAAGACTAATGACATTGCAGATTCTTCTTTTGATTTTAGCAAGAATCTTTAAATATATAGCAGGAGCACTGACCCAAATTTAGTAGCAATATTCAAAGCAAGGACAAATGGTAAACTTATAAACATGTAAGATAGATTCTGGTGAGAAATATTGTCTAGCATTACATAGTGAACGAACTTTCTTTGCTGTAGACTTAGCAACTGATGCAATATACTCTTTCCACTTAATGTCAGTGGAAAACATTTAACAACAGATTGTAGGTAATTTTTAGATCAACTGCCAATTTGACCTTATCGAACCAATCAGACTATTAAATAAATAAGTAAATAGTTGTGCCATCAGCATAGATACCAAGTTGAGAACTGATGACGTTAGGATGGTCATTTAGGGAAATTAGAAACAATGTAGGTCCAAGAATAGTGGCCTGGGGAACACCTGCAAAAATATCTGAAGTAGTTATCATTCAAGACAACATTCATTTCACGATTTGATAAGAAAAAATTTCTCCAGAAATACCATTTCAACTTGTGAAGAAGATCAGCATGCCAAACCACCCTATCAAATGCCTTTGAGATACCCAAAGCAACAGCACAAGCTTCACCATTCATATCTAAAGCTTGATAGACGCTTTCAGTAATAATCGTTAAAACACCAGCTGTTGACTTGGAAAAGCAAAAGCCATAGCCATATTGCTTATTGGAAAGAAGATCCTGCAATGTGAGATGTTTAATCAATCCAGAGTTAATTAGAGTTTCTAGAACTTTGCCAAAAAGAAGTAGAAGTCTAATAGTCCAATAGAAGAATCAGATGGTTCACATGTGTTCTTAAAGATGATTTCCAATAACAATAATATAATTCCACAGATAAATATAAGCCTGAGTTAAGACTTTAGCTATTAAATAATCGAAACATGTTGAGAATTGAACAAAGTGATTAAAAATTTGTGATTAAGGTGTTGGA